AGAATTTCAACAAGACTTATTTGTTTACATTTTTAGTAATATATTATGCATATTATTAACTGTACAAAATAAAGGAATAATGAAATAGTTTTTGATATATATATATATATATATATATATATATATATATATATATATATATATATATATATATATATATATATACTGGAAATATTTCTTTTGCGACTTAGATTCTTGTGTTTTTATAGATATTTCAATCCAAATATAAATAGATAAATATATATACTCGATTTTTAAAATTTAATCATGACAGCTCGTTGAAGAAATTCTGTAGAAATAGAAAAGAATATGATATAATAATTACAAAATATAAATAATTAATTATTGTATTCGAAAAAGTAGTTTTCATCACCTTTATTTATTTATTCATTCATACATTTATTAATGTTTTAAGTTAAAGCTAAATTAAAAAAAAAATATTTCTTCGAATTCATAAAAATGCATGCAAACATATGTATAATAAAAACTAACAATTATTACAAGTAATAAATGAGTGGATCACGAAGATTTTTTTCTGTTTTAGTTGGATTTCAGATTTTTTTTTTTTCCACAATTTCAAGCAGAGTAATTTTTATCACGTTTTCTAATGAAGAATGCATGAATTATTATCTGGTATCTATGATGACATAAATCATTTTTAACTCAGAAAAAAGATATATTCCCCGGGCACAGGTGTTGCTGCTAAATAATTAAGAAACTGTCACGTGATAAACGTTTTTTTTACACCGAAATTTACATATTCAGCACATCTTATGCCTTAAAAAAAAATACCGAATCCTCAAAGTTTAATCTTGAAACATTGGACATTTTTGTGTGTGTGTGTTTGTGATAAAAATTACAATATATGATATCTTCTTCCATGGGAAGTTTAATTCCTTTGATTAAATGAAACAATTAGGGTGTCCAGTTAGAATTACCCAAGGTAGATTGTACCTTCACGTATGAAAGTAAAGTATAAGGAAAACAAAATAACATGCCGTTATGGTGATTTTTTTTTCTAACAAAGGAACCAAAAATAAAAACTTCTGCAGGCTACGTTTTACGTCTTAATTTAGCTTACAATTTATATTTAAAAAATCGAATAAAATGAAATATTTATGTATATAATAAGTGAAAAATAATAAGAAATTTAGGGGGAAAATATTTTGCAAAAAAATTTAAGATTTGAATGTTAAAAAGAAAGACGGTAATACATCCGTATATTAATCTATCATGTTTGTAATAGTGTAATTTATGCATTATAAAGCCTATGTCGCGTTTGTCCATCAGAAAAAACAACAACTAATATTTATATTCTCTTAGCTTTCTTTGGTTTACGAAACCCGAATCATAAACTCTCAACTCCTTGCACATGTGATGTATATATTTTGCAAACATAAACTAATTTACTTGATATATTTCATAAGAATATGTCGAAAATGTTTGTGGATTTTCTCAAAGTAAGAGAGATTATGATGGCGATGTGTCACCGCGTGGTGTTGTTTATGCAACTCTAGAGATATTCCTAGTGGTTTATCGTTTTATTTATTTCCCCAGGTGTTTCTAGCGGTATATTATCGCTTCAAATTAAAGCGCTAAGAGAAAATTGAGGACTAAATACATGTGCAGTTTTACACATTCATTCTTGTCTGTATCACAGAATTTCCAAATTCTTCTTATCTGAATTAAACAAGGAGTAAAAAAGTAAGAATGAAACAAAAATTATTTTGAAATCTGCATGATATTTTGATATTTTTACACATATATACATTTATGCTGACGATGAATGTTCGGCCAGCATTTTGTTTGTCTTCAGTGTCTTCACTATTCGGTGGACGTCTGTACAAGAAAACATATTTACTCATCAAGTTACATAGTACTAACATAAATCAACCGAGGGTCGTAAAGACAATGAGATCAGCTATTTTATCAATCTCCCGATGGTGGTTAACAGGTATGGTTTATTATAAGAGAGTGTTACGTCGTTACCTGATCAGCCTAAATCTCACAGAGACAAGCGATTATTGTAGAATTCAAACACCTAGAACTATTTCTTATACACCATTCAAACTTTGTTTTTGATTAAACTTATCTCTAAAGTTGGAATACAAGGTTGTCTAGTGACTGTTGATAGCTAATCAACGCACTCATTTTAACGGGCTTTACTAGTAAATGATTGGTGTGACTAGAAGAAACAATAGTAGAGAATTATTAAATTCTATAATCAACGAGAAAAGATAATGATTCCCAGGGTTAATAAGCACGTGCTTGTTTTTTATACAGAGGTAATTCCTTTTTCATTATGACCGTAGTCCCAGTTGCCTGCAAGAATACAGATCTAAATCCACAAGCAAAGACTTTTCCAGCGGCAGAAAGCTGGGCCTTTGGAGACTGGTAGATTGATCCATTAAATTTCCGATGTCTATACACGGCCTATTTCGCGTCTCCAATCTTTCTATTATGTGTTCTAGTTCAGTGAAGATGTGGATGTAATTTTAGGGTGATTGTGTTCAATTTTACCCTCGGAATAGAACACGGATATATTATTATCTTCCGCATCATTGAGACTTGAGAGTTTGTAATTCAGTCATTTTTTTTCTCCCTCGCTGAACTATGCTTTGGTATAATGGATGTTTTTACTTAACTTGTCATAGTTTGAATTCAGATATGAGGTTTTTATTTAAAAATGGTCAGATAATATCATAAGTAACATGTTGCTACATTTATGAAAGTGATCACAATTTTTCGATTTTTTTCTCTCTATTTAAATCAGGAAAGGGATTAAACCAAATACCAAGGGCATAATATCGCGTGTAGCTTTTGTAGCCACAAGGGAAACATAAACTATTCTACAATAGTAAAACAAAAGTTTACCAATATTTCGCACTTATTACGAATAACAGACTTTCATTTGCAACGTAATATTAATTAAGGCTCCCTCACTACACTCCGCTTATCTGCTAGTTCATCTGAGGTTTACACGAATGCTGGATTTTCTCTGTTTGCAACTCGTCTTCTGCATTGCATATTGGGTAACCAGGTGCAAGCTGATTGATCAGCTCCTGCTCTACTTCCAGCAAAATTTTACTTCAGAACGCCATTGTCAGTTAATCAATAACTAAATGCAAACATTATATAAAATTTTTCAGGTCCAAACTCTGCACACAGAAGACGCGGAAGGCAGACTTACAGCCGTTACCAGACACTAGAGCTGGAGAAAGAATTTCAATTCAACCATTATTTAACGCGAAAACGACGAATAGAGGTAGCCCACTCCTTGTGCTTAACAGAACGACAGATTAAAATATGGTTTCAAAACAGACGGATGAAACTCAAGAAAGAGAGACAAGCAATAAAGGAGATTAACGATACCCCTGGTCTTCTTCCCTCAGACAAGAAAGACGACAAAAGTGACGGACTGTCGAGTGACGAGTCACCGTAAATACCCGAACTATTCCGAACACCAACGAGAAAGCTTTAGACAATTACACGAGTTAAGGCTTTGTCTATTCAGGCGATACGGGTAAATAGTTCGTCACTTCTTGCCATATATGAGATATTTAGTAATATTATGGCAATTTTAACTTATTCCAAAGATATTATGTATTTGTTACTATTGTGAGGTATTATAACTTAGATCTCGTATAAATATATAAGCTTGGTCATAAGGCGTAAGAACAACCGTGTCTGTGTGTCTGCTAGTCAAGAGGATCCTCCCAGGGTGATAATGTGCGTGCTCCGTTAAGTGTTGTCTGCCTTTAATGTCGAAATAGGACTGCAGATGGCGCTCTGAGGATGTCTAAGTGATGTCGTCATTTTTTATTCACAGCGGAATTTTATGTCGCATAAAAACTGGTTTGCTAAGATTTTTTTCTCTGTGATGAGACAATGTTCAGTTCAAGTGAAAGGGTGTGATATATATATGCGTGTGTTTATAATATTGCAATTACTTTGGACTGTTACAAATAGAATTCATGATAAACTTTATATCATTGACAATAATGAGATAAGGGTAAAAGCTTCGCTACATTCATGGATATTTTAATATAGGGTAAACTTATATGAATAATTGCTGAATTACTGTAGCCTAGGCAACGATCACCATATTTTTGTACAGCATTCTTAGTACTTATGGTTTACAATATAAATCTGCTGAACGGAATGGAAATTGTGTGAATAGATTTAAATACATAAAATACCTCAGAACTCCTCTTCCATTGTACAAATATGTGTGATGCATAAGCTTTTTGTACGGTTTTTATCATAACTCCGTCTCAGGGTTATAGTTTGCCACATCATCATATAGATATGTTTACGCCCTAACCTTATTCAGAAGTATCTTTTTGTTAAACGATTGATAGGAACACAGTATCTATAGACAACATGATGAACCATCTCAGATGTTGCATTTTCAGTTTGCAAACATCTAAAGCATGGATTTTCATGAATTGCTGCCAAAATATTTGAGAAAGTTGCAATAGAAGTTCCCCTGTTTTTGTGTTGTGATGTGCTGTTCTAACGAGACTGTTATATGAATCAGAGAGATTTTTTCCTATATGTTTGTTGACGTTTAGTTGTCTTACATTGATAAAACAAGTACTGCCAATGTCAGTGGTGCATTTCAGATGTAATAAAATTTGTAAAGAGTATATCCAAGTTGTTATCTGATCTTAAAGGTACAAAGAATTATAGCTCCTACACGACAACTTTTGCAGGGCAAATTAAGATAGCTTGGCAAAGTTTTAGTTGGCAGATAGTTACATGACGTTTATCAAACAACTGCATGTTATTACGTCATATTTCACAAAAATATATCAATTTGTCCTGCATAACAGCAGTACTGCAGTTATCATGAAACAGTCTTTTTTCAAAAAAGGACCCCGATTGCGAATGATGAACTTTTCTATTACCGATTCCAATAATAGGGAAGAAAAATTTTATGCTATAAGCATAATTTATAATATATTATGCTTAAGTATTATGAATAATAAATAACTTTCTAATGACCTATGTTAAAAACACATTGTTACAATTAGAATGAAACATTACTTAAGATGATTTTTGGGTCGAAATCATGGTTTAAAACAAAAGATTCTTGTGTCTGGTATTATCTAGAATGTCATAATATTGATAATACCTATTTTTTTTTTATGGAAAAAAAATTTCGGTAAGACCAATATGAAAACAGTGATAATTGTGTTTAACTCTATGAACTCTGTAGATATCTCAATTCTCTATTTTTGTTCTTTCTTGTGACATTACTGGTTCTTTTTGTTAACACTTATGTCGAAAAAATCTATATAAATTAGTTTTGCAAATGAAATTGAACATTAATGAAGAACATGTACAACGCAGTCCTTTCTGTAAAATATTGCAATAAACCAAAGCTTTTATTATGTTTAGAATATAAACAAATATTCCTATATAATTGTTTGAGACAAGAATAGTTTACCAACACTAAAATCAACCTATAATGGGGAAGATATATTATAACAAATCTGTAAATGCAAATAATGTCAGCTTTAATTAGAAAAGACATAATTCATTGGATAATAGAGAGCAGATGTACAATCCGCTTTACACTTTTTCAGCACATAATGAATTAGACCCAATTATAAAGCAGGAAATTATAATTCAACACTTCTCAGAAAGGGAAAAGCTGACATTCACCTGTAAAGGGCGATCCCTTTGTTTCTGGACAGTTTCGATGTTCCTTTGTTGTCTCCGAGTCAGGAAGCTAAAGCATCTTAATTGTCTCAAATGTACTTAAATTGTACGATACTGTAAATGCATTCATAAATGCAGTTTGAATTGAGCATAATTATATGAAGTTTTAAAAACAGACTGTATACTCTAATGCTTTTCTAGAGGAATCCCCATCTTCTCATATACTGACTTTTTATCCGTTAAAAAAAATTACTAAACTTCTTCCACCTGTAAGATCTAAGGCCTGTGAATCAGCCCCCTTATTGGATTTCTGCACGAAAGAGTATTTCTATTTCACCATTCCTTCTAAATCTACCAACAGACGACCTCTGTCTCCGATACCCGCGCTCCCATGGACTGTCGTCTGCAACCGACTGCGATCTGTTTCATTCAGCGATTCCCCCAGTTTAGAATTCTGTTTGAAGCTCTAAGTATTATATGTCATCCACAGGTGGTAGTCTGTCGGTCCGTGCCAGAATTTTCATCTCCACGTGAACAGTTCATAAGATATTTATTACCAAGTGTGGAAAAGTGCAATTTATGTTTTGTCTCTTTTCAATATCAACTTTCTGGGTTGCTTTCAGAGCAAGTCACATATCCTTGCCTGAATATCATAGCTATGACAATGTAGATTGGGTTTTTAATAAGCTCATTACTAGCGTTATTTGCCTTCTAAGCAAGAATAATGGATATGCAGCACACAACGCACGAAACAAATTTTAAATATTTCTCTGTGAAGTTAATAAGTAATTATGAATCTTTACGACGATGGTATATTTATTAACATCAGTACTTACAGTTTGTGGAGAAAACATGGTATACATTTCATTTTTTTTTTTTTTGGCTTCAAGTATGATGATTGAAGTATGCATTAACAATTTATAGAAGAAAATTATTTGTTACTATATCTGGACAACATGCCCTTACAGTATCGATACAACCTAAGGGACAATAAATCCATCCCCAGTATTTTTTTTTATTCTTTTCAGAACATCAATTATCCATTATCAGATGTGTATATGATGCAAATATGAGTTTATTATTGTGTTGGGCTTTCTGAACTCATAAATCTTGATCTTCTATCTTAAAGAATAAATTAATATTTTAGAATAATGCATCTCTTCAACACTGACAATTAGGCAAAGGTGTTCGGGCGGAAAAGTTTTTAAACTAAAGGTGAGAAAATTGTCACCTGTCTGTGTTCATTTGAATAATTAAGAAATGAAGGATTTTATTTCGGATAAGCCTCACCGAGTAAGATATTTTATATACATGTACTAAAAATACTAGCTCCTCTCAAAATCAGGTTCTTCAAAACTTAGTGACTTTTATTTTACGTCATATTTCACGATAATAAATGTCAAGAAAATAAGATGTTTATATTTTGCAAACCATTTCTTTTACAATGGGAAGGCTCTCCGTTTGCCTAAAACTTTAAACGTTTAAATCTCACGTTGGTATTTTTGAGAGAATTTTGCTAGGCGAACTTTAAATAAATTATAGCAAATTTCCAAAGATAATTCAAAAGCTCATGATAATAAGAAACTTCTTGCAATTCAGATGAGATATAGGGAAATTACATAAAACATTAAAGGGATTGCATGCATTATGTACGATCACGTGTGCATGTTATGACGCAATTTAATTGTTCTACCCTGATGGCCTGAAGAAAGTCCAACGTTTGTGTTGTTTGTAGTTAAATTATAGAGTTAAGATGTTTAAATCGGGCGAGGATGTCCAGCAATAGTCCTCGGTGATTAGTGACCAATTTATCATTTGTTTAAATGGCCATTTGTAAGTTTAATGTGTTAGATAGAATGTTAAAGACCCCAATTCAAAGTTAAGACCGGCCTTTTGATCTGGGACTGAAGAAATAGCGTCCTGTTAGGTCGCTAAAACTTAGGGTGAAAAGGTGGTGAATGACTTTTTTTCAGAAACTGAAAAATTAGTTTTCGCGCCCTTTTGTCATGACAAAGATTTTTAAGGCGGGACAGGAAATGATTTTGTGTTAAAGATACCATTAAAAGCTTGGGCCAACTAAGCTGAAATTCAGCGTGTTTCTTTTTTCAGATCGCTTCATAGCAAATTTTAATCATGAAGCAATTCTAGGCCAATTTAACATTTTACGACAGAAAATTTATTTCGAAATTTAAGAATACCTACGAATCAAACGCATTTCACTTAGAGAAATCTATAGCGCATAGGAAATACACTGTATATAATATAAAATCAGGTGAAATACGAAGATAGAATTTTTTCCCTTTACCATTGACTTGTTTTTGTCTTTGACAGAAATCATAAAAGCTATTATGTCAAATACCTTTTCAGAAAATGGTATGAGGAAATTGTGGTGAAATGAAAATAATTAAAGATTCCAGCTGAATGCTAAATGCCTCGACAAGACAGAGAAGTGGATGTTTCACAATGTATTTAAGCACGAGAAACGTGCTTTCTCTGTAAGAGCTGCTATTTTTTGCCCGCTGGAAGCAATTCATTGACGTTATCCACGCTTGTGTTGGTACATATTATACCCTACTAAATATTGTTTTCATGATTTGAGGGGACAAATAGATTTACACTAATGTTTAAAGATAATGTTCTGTAGATTGAAAAGATAACATGGTAAAATGGATTGGCCACGCGACTTGAGTAATGTTTTTGTTTGGTCATAAACAAAATGACGAAGATTTGCAGTAGACTTTTGTGATTTAGCGGTTAAACATTTAACTGAATGACATAAAAATCACTTTTGACGTTAATGAACAACTTTATGATACCGGAGGTTTTCAGTTACAAGATATATTTGCCATATTTACAAGACTCAATTATTCATACTGTTATGTAATGTATTTCGTAAGGTATTCTGAAATATTCTCTAAAAGGTATATCGATCAGAAAGATATCCTCACATCAATTAATACGTAACACTATAATGTCATAAAATGCATGTCAACGCACGATACGAGCTAATTATAAAACTCAAATAACATTTTTGATTAATTTTTACAATTTACGACATAGTCCTTGAGAACTGCGGTGGATCGTAAAAAATCAAGACAACTAGTGCTAATTTTATTCAGATCTGTAACGAAAGTGAGAAAATTGAGAAAGAAAGAAGACGATAAATTTCGAAGATTGTTAGACAAGAGCAGACGTACTAGTAACACATCAGTGCTTTGTTGATTGGGTAAAATAAAATTTAAATGAATATGATTAAGCATAGGATCAATGAATTAAAATTATTTGGCCCTTGCCCATTTCTGTTGTAAACACCTATAATGTTCAGAGAACTATCTTTTTTAAAAATTTAATCCATGCAAAACCGTTTATGCTGATTACATTCACCGACTTACACATAATTAACAAATTGATAGGCCAAATGTAGACAGGTTTCTAAATTCCCTTAGCACAGCTGGGCTGTCAGAAAAATGGAAATTTGACACTTTGTACAAACTTAGATAATTTAACCTTCTAAAGGCATCCTTCGTGGATCTCAGGGTAAAAACAAGTGCACTATCTATTGTATTGTATTGTTTGTCCAATGTGGGTGTAATATGCATTAAAGATTATTCTCCTATCAAAAGACTCAAGAAGATCTTAAATAAAAATTGCTCTATTCATTTTACTTAACTAATCTTTTAATTTTCAATTTGAAATCTCACATTAAGATGATTTTTGTTGTGCTATGAAGAAATGGCTCAAATGACATCTTTAACTATTTTTCACCCAGGCTAGGATTGCAGGATATTGAGGAAAATATGGTAACTTCATTTTCCGATCTCTTAATTCTTAAAATTCTATATTTATCGAGAAATGTGAGAGAGATAGAAAAAAAAAACAAAGTATTAAATTCATAAACAAGAAATTATACTTAAACCAAAAAAAAGTATAATCTGTATTCTACCTACCGGCCATATCTAATCAATGTCTAACAAGTTTGGTA